CATTGGATCGAATAGGAAACCTCTTGTACCATGACAATACTTATCGTATGTACAAACACATTCATTTACAAAACAAATATGGAAATTGGCCTTGCAAAGGTGCTTGCTACAATTAAATCTGTCAGTTAATTAATAAACACGAGACATTTCCGTTGAATAAAATCGTTTTGAGGTAGACACTGGATGAAATCTTACTAAATTAACTTGTCCAAGGGTTTTCTTCATCGTAAACATTATACACCTACTTGTTTCATAGTTATTACCGTAAATAAAAACAGATATTATACTAAACTTAATTACAGACGCACTAAGATGTCTAGTTGATGTTAGTGTGTAAGATGCTATAACTGGTTCTTCTTTTAACATAAAATCTTTTTTTTATTCATTGTTATTGCAGATTTTAATGAAACGCGATCATTTTCTATTAATAGGATTAATAGAAATGCATAATTACAGCCTACATATGCATAATGTTATATTATCATGTTGTAAAGACAGCAGAATTCACCTACGAGCAATTATTTTATTTCCAGAACATCCAGGTGTTTGAACTATTGTTGATTTAATAGTCATCCTTGCGTTAATTAAGAAGATAGTGGGAGATGAATTACTCTTCTCTTATGGTATTGTCGAATTTAAAAAGATTTATTATGTTTTCAGCTACCAGTTTGAATTAAGACAGTGATAGATTTGAACCACAATTTGATATAGGTTTAAAAATAACAATGACGCCAATATTTTGCGCTAAGCATATGGTCAACTGGAATATTAACAGTTAGACTACTCGTATGTCATTAACGTTTCTTCCTGTTCACTCGAAAGAAACTAAAAAAAACGAAGAATTGCATGTCATAGGATCATAAAAGTTGTTATATGAACAGTTTTATTTATCTTTAAAATGTGATGGAGGAAATACTTGCATCTCGACAAGACTCGGGGTTTTTGAGGTGTAACTGATGCAGTTTGTAAGATTATATAGGAGCTATAAATTATAGCAAAACTGATGATTGTTCAATGTATTAGATCTAAAATAATTGCTGTGTTGGCTGTCAATAAATTCATTGATGAAATTTATATTTAAATAATAATTGTTTACTTTATACAGTATTTTAAGTCACTTTGTTGATTTAGAATTGCTCACTAGATACACCTATATTTATGATTTGTTCAATGTCGAGATACTCCTCGATATGAGAGTTGATCTTTTAATTATAAGAATTTCACATCAACCTTCATATTGACAAGCCAATAACTGGTAATCATTTATCTACTTCTTGGAACTTGGAAGAAATCTCAAGTGTTTCTCTATTTAAACAATGCAAATTACCTATCTAGTAAAATTTTCACTTTTACGAAATGTTAATCATTTTCTCTAAACATCAGGAAAATTTATTATGTTGTAATTCAGAATTTATAGTTTTCTTAAAAATCAATCCATTAAACTTGCCATTTAAAATTATGCATTAGATCCAATTTCTGTATAAGTGAAAGCGTTAATTTACAGTGCAAGTCAGCATCTAATGAGTTTTTATGTGCATACAAATTATTTCAACTCATTACTGGCCGTGCTAGATGAGAAGTAAAGGTGAGATGTTTAACCTCACATGCAATTAATAAATAAAAGAGTAATTTAAATTTTATTTACGACATAATTGACATTTGAAATGGCGCCAGAAATATTGAAAAATTTTGGATTGAAATGATTCTGGAAGCTCTTCGCTACTGACAACGATGATCTCCTTAGGGTCTCCATTGTTCTACAACGAAAGAAATCAGTAATGCATGCTTCTTTTGTTCTCCACCTTTATCTCCACTTGAACTTTCTCCGCAATTTTTCAAAAGAGTTGTTTCGAAGATCTGATGACGTCGAGCATGATTTAACAAACAGTTCGGGAAAATCAACAATTCCTTGAGGAGTCAATCCGATGACTTATCAAATATCTATCTGAGAGTGTAGGTTTCAGACTGTTGCCCCCTGAACATCGACCTTGGGCCAATTCACTACACCTACCCACATTGACGACCACGACTTTTACTAAAGGAAAGTGAATATAGATATCCAGTTGCATACGTGCCCAGATTATCTTATTTGAGTCGAAATTATCACTATTTTTTCTAATCGATATTTCAGGTTTCATCTCCTTTAGAAAATGGACAAACACCAATAACGGATTTTTTTTCAACTTAAAGCAAATACATAAATTTGAAATGATTCACTTTTTAAACTTGGTAATTAGGTGATAAACTACAAGTTGTCACAAGTTGCTATTGTAACGGTATTTTGGATATTATGTCTATACATCGTCAAAATTACACCACATTTCACAAAACGCAACAATAGATACTGTTATAATTAATAATAAATTTGAAGACATGAGAAAAACAAAAGTTGATAAAACTTGATGAAACTCACCTTGCCAAACTGGCTTTAAACTTGCTAGAACAACACGACACATAAATTTCACTTTGCGAAAATTTTCGCGGCTTTTCCGTGTCGCGCTTTTTAGCTGACAAACTAACGCAGCTGAACTTGGTTAAGCCAGTTCTAAACTAAGTAGAAGCCTTCGACAAGAAAGTCAGTCACCTAACCTGAGACAAAAACTAGTTGTACGCGGTGTCTCCAATATAGGTTTGCTCGATTTCATCCATCGACAATTCAGTAGTACAACAACTGCTCTTAACTGACCCGGATCATGGATGCATCCTAATGCAATTAGACCCTAGTCTAATTCTATTTTTTCGCATCATACTATAAGGGCGCAGCCTTATTTTCCATCTGAAACAAAAGAAAAAGAAATTGTATCATGTACCTATTTGTAAATTTTATGTGATTGAATATTATTTCTTTATAATTGATCAATAAATTGAGTTTTTATTTTATAAATTTGTAATTTTTTGGTGTAGAGACAAGAGAAAAAAGCAGGTATTTTTTTCTTGGGTCCGGAGATCAGTCTTCTTTTTCTTAAGAGACCGAATTTTATTTTACAAATCTATTTTTTGGAATTCTGACTTCAGCACGTTATGGTTGATGAAAAAAGTAAAAACGCTTCAGGTAACTCTTAAAAAAATGAGTTTTTTTATTTTATTTTTGAAAATTTTTATTGTTGGGGTAATAATTTGACAAGTGATAAAATTTAAAGAAATCTAAAATTCTTAAAGTAAAATGTTAAAATTTCTGCCTGCTATGTTGTGTTGTTCTCTACTTCTCCCCAACATTTTGTCATTGATAGTTCTCCTGGTCACAACAAAAGTACGATTTTACAAATCGTGTGGATCTTCCAGAGGCATCTCGTAGATCCTGTTTTTCATATACCCCCAAAAAATAGTCAATGGGTTAAGATATAGATTGCTTCTGGTGGGGCAGGTAAATAGATCATTGCGACCTATTCACTTAATTTCGTAATTTTGTCCAACTTTTTTTCCAGTGTGGTGAAAACTGCACGTATGTACAATTGCGAGCATTAAATATTGGTAGGTATAGTCATTTTGAACCTTCTTTAAAAAATGAATATAAATGTTAAAACACGTTGCCAAAAATGAATTGAAAAATATTTTTTTTGTATACGCTCCCGAAAACAGCTGTTTTAGGGACTCATTTGAGCCCCTAAAATGAGTTTCTCAGGATTCAATAAAATAGTGAGTAAAATGGCTATTTTAGGTACTCAGTCCCCAAAAACAGTTTTTTCGAATTAAAAAATAAAATTGGTTAGAAAATGATGTGTCTGTATTGCAGTAACAATATAAAAAATAATTATTGTAGGTAGTTGTTTAGTATTATTGAAGTGTCATCATACTTAATAATAATAAATACCAATAATAAATAAATTATATTTTTGAGCAGGGGTCATACATATGTCGAAATAGGATTGTTCACTGAGTGATTTTGAGTGCTTAATGTCTTAAAAGGTAAAAGTTGGTCTCACATTTTTTACACATAGCAAATCTTATTTTAATACTGAGCATTCCTACTTAGCATGTAGAATATTTTACTTAGCAAATCAGTATTATTTACTTAACACTTTATTACTAGTCCAAAACATGTCCAAAATAAATAAAAAATAAAATTCTTCTTCTGGGTGTATCAGACATACGTGTGTTAATTTTAACACGTGAAAGAACTCACCACGTAAAACTACTTTTCTATATAACATATTGCAAAATTCTTATTAATTGGTTTTATTGTTTTCCCCCATAATTGTGTAAACAAGCCGTTTAATGTTAATAAATAATCACAACTTTTTTACATAACATATTGCAAAATTCTTATTAATTGTTTTTATTGTTTCCCCATAATTTTGTGTAAACGAACCGTTTAATGTTAATAAATAATCACAACAATGCAGTTCTTAATGTAGTTCTGTTTCTATTACAAGGAAAATATTTCGGCATTTTTAATTTGATACCCACAGGCAGGTATACGTTTTGATATGTTATCTTTTCCAAATTTTAAATCAAATGTATTATTTATCGAGATGTGTTACATATTAAAATTAACACACGTATTTCTGCTACATTCTGTATAAAAAAAATGTATTGTAGGCAACGCATTATACTCGGACGTTTAAATTATTATTATACATGCTCGTATTATAATACATGTGATATTAATTTAAAATGCATATGTATATTGCATATGCTTTCTAACTTTAACTTTTGCATAAAACGTTTATAAAAATTTCTATTTAATCAACTTGTTAGTTCAATTTTAATAAATTAAAAAATGTAGGTAAGTACGTAATAAGAGTGCATGTTAAGTTAGTTACATAGCTGCTGTAGGAGCAAAAAAATTTGCTTGTGGTTAATAGAAAAATAAGCAGAAGTAACAAGTAAAATTATAAAAATAAAATTAAAAATTTAACTGTTGACGATAATATAGAACTCTGTTAACATGTCTGTGCAGTTTTTAAAGACGATTGATAGATGACGCCCGTATTCTTAAAATTCCACCAATGGAACGCGAAAGATTTTTGACAGAATAGTTTTGATAAAATAACCGTTGAGTTTTGAATTGTCCTTGTGAACTTCTGTAAAAAGCGTTTTCTGATTTACGTTTATATGTTGTAAAATGCGTTTGTCTGTCTACCTGATAGAACTATATTATATTTTAATATTGACAAGTGTTAAATAAGTACAATATGGATTTGAAGGATTTTATAAATAATAATTTATTCCTTTTGTATAAACAGAAAAACGAAGTATTCGGTACAGTGCAAGATCGGGTTGTGAAAATGAACGAACACAGAAAAGACAGTCGTCGAAACGTTCTTTTTTGGAAAAGAAAGATTCCTGAAAACATGTCCCCTGTTGTAACACCAGCTTCTAAAAAAGAAAAGAGAGAGCAGGCAAAAGCAAGCGAGCAAGCAGCAGTGGAAAAAAGGCTGGAGATGTTAGCCAAATGGAAAGTAGAAAAGGAAAAACGGAAAGAATTGCAGAAAACAACAAGTAAACCCATTTTTAAGGTGACGCATGTCCCTGTAACCGTCGGGCTTCCAAATCTAGAAACGGTTAATAGAGAAATCAAGGGAAAACCGTTTAAATCCAAGTTTGCTCCTGCTAACCACAAATTCCGACCTCCAGCGAACATTAAGCCTATTTATGTGTTCAAAAACGCCAATCAGTCAGAACTCTCGAAAACTAAAGGCAAAAATCAGTCTGATAAAGAATTGTACAAGCATAAGATGGTGACAAGGTCCCAAACACGTGGTACTTTGGAAGTGAAGCCGGCTCTTCACAAGAACGATACCAAAGTTGAACCTACAACCGAAAAGACGAAGGCCAAACCAAATAAAGAAAACACAACGAACGACAAAAAGAAAAATAAAATAAACATGTAGGTTTGTGTAAAATGTGTTAAACTTTTATCAAGTCTGAGTATTTTCAGTGACACGCCACCGCCTGTTAAACCGGTATCGAATAAGAAGTTAAAACCGAAGTCTAATGAAGAAGCAAACATATCGGAGAAGACTAACAGGAATACAGAAAACATGTTAGTTTGTGTAAAAACTGTTTAACTTTTATTAATCTGAGTATTTTTAGTGACTTACCGAGTGTTCAACCAGTATCGAATACGAAAACAAAACCGAAGTCTGTTGAAGAAGCAAACAAATCGGAGGAGTCTAGTGAAAATAAAGAAATTATGTTGGTTTGTTTAAAAATTGTCAAACTTTTATTAAATGTGAGTATTTTCAGTGACTTACCACCGCCTCTTCAGCCAGTATCTAATAAGAAAGCAAAACCGAAGTCTAATAAAGAAGCAGACAAATCGGAGGAATCTAATGAAAATAAAGAAAATATGTTGGTTTGTTTAAAAAATGTTGAACTTATATTAATCTATGTATTTTCAGTGACTTATCGTTGATGTCGCCTGATTACCCTGTATCGCATATTCCTTCTAGTGAAAGTGATGAGGTGCAGACACCAAAGAAAGTAGAACCTCCGACATATGTTAGTCCTTTTGTAACAATATCTCGAGGGAAAAACAGTGCTCGAAAAGAGTACAAAGTGCGCAAGTTAGGACAATCATTTTCTTCAAACACATCTGATTCTCTTGACTACACGTCACCCAAAGCCGGCGCTGCTTATTTTACATGGCTTTTGGATAGCCAAATAGCCCGTTTGAAGGACTTGTGTGATCAGTGGACCACATACAAAGTATTTTTCATGTTAGTAATAAATCAGTTTAACTTAATTAGTGTTTGTAGGCTGCAACTAATCCTCCAGAAGAAGCTGTATCAATGATTGACGTTGCCATAGGCCAGACCAATCTCCTAATTACCAAAAAGTTTGAGCAATTCAGGGGTTTGATAAATAAGTGTCAATCAGACTGTAAAGAAGCTCGTGTTACGTGTGAAGATTTGCATGGTTTTTGGGATATGATGCATTTACAAATCGACAATTTAGACAAGAGATATGCAAATCTAGACAATCTAAAAGCCAACAATTGGCAAGAAATTATACCTGAAGTTAAGAAGGACATAGGAAAGAAAAAAGGTCGAAAACCAAAAACAGCAAAAGCTTCTACTGCTCTTAGAGAAGCGATTCAAGCTGCTCGCAAAAAGAAACAAACAGAAGATCAAATAACTCCGCTAAATCAAAGGAGTATCAGATTATCTGTTGTAAAAACCGATGAAAAAACTAAAAGAATCAGTTCTCCTGGACTTGCTTGCAAAACAGAAAATCAAATTACTTCGCTAAATAGAAGCAGCAACAGACTTTCTATTGTAAAAACTGATGAACAAACAAGAAGAATTAGTTCCCCTGGACTTACAATGATGAAGGTGTCACAGTTTGGAAAAAATGTCGAGGTAAATTTTAATATTTTGTATAAAAATTATCTCTTGTTACGTCTGACTATTTTAGACTCCAGCTAAAAGTATATTGAAGGATGCGTCTGTGAAATCAAACCAGAAAAGTCGAACGAAATCAGTCTTGTTTCATGACGAAGTAATACACGAAAATAAGAAATCTGATCCAAACAATTCTGTAACCAAAACACCAATACGTCGATCACACAGACTTTCAAAAGGTAAACTGTTTTAGTGTCTTAATTAAGGTGATTTTATTGTTTTATGTTCATAATAGACTGCGTTTTTTTTTAATTGTAATGTGTACTTGATTTAGTTATTTGTTTAATAATAAAAGTGACGATTTATTGAAGTTTTTTGTTTAATAGATATTTCTTTCCTTACTTAATCCCAATATTTAAAGTTTTCATTACACAACACAATTTTTTCTATTAATTTGTGAAAACGCTCATTTATTATAGGTATGACCGGAACAGATGGACCAAGGAAAAAATAAAACTTTATAAGAAAACACTGCTTTATATTTAAGTGTTTATTTACAGTTTATTACATAAATCATACATACAGCAATACAACATGGAGAGGACTTCAAGACATTACAAAACTAGATTTTTTAGGATTAAACAAATACTACTATATATTAAACAGCACTATGTTACAATAAAACACCTAAAATATTTTATAAATACAATATTTACATTACACTACATAAAATATATACGTATTATACGAGTACATATAATCTAATGGCACCCTTTAAACTACGATATGGGTATTCACTAGTCCAGTTTTTAAACTGGACAAAATACTGTATGTAAAGTACATTGGGATATAGTTTTTGGGAAAAGTAGAATCCAAAAATGTGTCTCCAGATTTGATAAATGTAGTTTAAGGTAAAACAAACAAGCGAATATTTGATTGAGCAGAGGCTTAGTAATGTTTGCAAAATGGAAGGATGAAAAAGAGAAACGGAAAAAAATGTAGACCAAGGAAATAATCGATTTTCAAAATGTCGATAGTCCCTGTAAGCACTGGACTTCATAATCTGGAGACAACCAGGAACAATTTTTCAAACAATGATATTTCGGATTACACGTCGCCAAAAGCTGATTCTGCCTATTTTGTACGACGTTTGTACAGTCAAGTAAAATATTTGAAATTCAAATTATTTTTCAAGTTAATAACAAATCAGTTTGTACCATGATTAAAGTTAAAAAAAAATAAAAAACTAGCAGTTTATCTACAAATTGTCAATATAGAAACAAGAGACTGGCAAATTTGAACAATTTAAAGACAAGAAATTGTACATGAAATTAGGAAGAACGTAGGAAAGAAAAAGGTTTCTGCTCTTAGAGAAGCGATTCAAGTTGCTCGCAAAAAGAAACAAACAGGACATCAGATAACTCTACTAAATCGAAGCAACAACAGATTTTCTGTTGTAAAAACTGATGAACAAATTAGAAGAAATTAGTTCCCCTGAACTTACAATGATGAAGGTGGCACAGTTTGCAAAAAATGTCGAGGTAAAATTTAATATTTTGTATAAAAATTGTCACTTGTTACGTCTGACTATTTTAGTCTGTAGTTAAAAGTATATTGAAGGATGCGTCTGTGAAATCAAATCAGAAAAGTCGAACTAAATCAGTGTTGTTTCATGATCAAGTAATAAACGAAAATAAGGAATCTGATCTAAATAATTCTGTAACAGAAACACCAATACGTCGATCACATAGACTTTGAAAAGGTAAACTGTTTTAGCGTGTTAATTAAGGTGATTTTATTTTTTATGTTCAGAATAGACTGCGTTTTTTTTCAGTGCGATATGTACTTGTTTTAGTTATTTAATAAAAGTGATTACGATTTATTGAAGTTATTTGTTTAAGGGATGTTTCTTTATGAATTGAGTGGTGGAGATGTCAGCAAAATCGTAGGTAGAAAAGAAGAAACGAAAAGAATTGGAGGAGAAAACAAGCTAACTCCTGTTCCTGTTCATGTAATCATCGGGCTTCCAAATCTTGAGATGATTACGTGGAAACAAAAGCGAAAGTTTGCACAAGCTTAGACCATCTACCAACTTGCAACCTATTTCTTTTAACAACAATGACAAAAGACGAAGTAAACAGAAGAAAAGAGTAAAGAAAACGTGGATGAAACAACAAGTAATATGGATATGGTTACAATACCGTAAATATTACGATTATAATCTATTTTGGAATTCGATCCCTCAAGTAACTTAATACGGAAGCAGTTCCTTGTTCTAAAATGGCATAGCGTGGTTGCCTAAAGCAATTTCCTCTTAACTCCAGGGTCCTAAAATAAAATAATTAGCTGTTTATTGAATTTAAAATCCATGTTTTCATACCGGAGTTGAGTAATATTTCCCAGTTCAGGTGGTATATGACCTATGTTGTTGTTCGTCAAATCTAAAGTTGCTATTCTTTTAAGATTTTTCAATCCATCCACATTAACATCAGTTATTTTATTATCACAAGCTAATAATATTTCTAATCCTACCATTCCGTATACACAATCTGGTATGTGGTTAAATCTATTGTTGTTTAATACAAGTTCTCTCAAACTAACTAATGAACTTAAACATTCTGGCAAATTTGACAATAAATTGTTGCCTAAATCAAAATATTTCAATTTTATACAGTTACTGATAAATGCAGGAATCTCGCTAATTAAATTCATGGACAAATTTAATTCTGTCAAATTTTCAGCTATTAACTGTAGTCCACTAGGCACTGAAGATAATTTATTTTTACATAAATCAACAATAGTAACTTCCGCTAGTTTAGCTTCCTCAAAAACATCATCAGGTACTGAAGTAAGCTGCTTCATCGTTACATTTAATGCTCGTGAATGCTTCATAGTGTATCTAAAAAGAATTCTTAAATAAAAACCCTTCAAATATTTTTCGCTTACCTATCAGGGAATGTCTTGGCTTTAATCTGAGTAGTAGAGGCTTTAGGAACATTTTCAACTTCTTCGTCAGCAAGCTGCTCCTTCAAATGCTTTAAAATTCGCATAGTTCCGCCTTTAATAATATCAGCTCTAATTTTTTTCAGTTTGTTCCCTTCCAGCTGAAGATTTTGTAAGTGCGCTAATAAACCCAGTGAATTGGGAAGACTACAAAAACACTCTGTGAAAAAAATAACTAGAAGAATCGGTATTACTCGGTCAAATCATTATTAGTTAAATCGAGTCGAATCAAGTGTTGTAACATCGCTATTTCGTTGGGAATTTGTTCTATCTTGTTATCTCGTAAATCAAGGATTTTCAAGTTCGACGTATTTTCACAAAAGTCAGGTGTTACTTCCTACAATTTCAAATGCTTTATACTTACTATTATTGCTTTGTTTTCTTACTTTAATGTAATTGTTTCCAAAATAGACTTGTTGTAAATGCGTACACCCCTCAAAGTCTGGAATTTCTTCGATATTGTTATGTTGGGCATACAAAAACTGTAATTTGGCAAGTTCTCCCATTTTTGGCAAGTAAACTAAATCATTGTGTGTTACATCCAGTTTCAACAGACCTTAAAGCAACTATCAATAAGTCTACAATTTAAATCACAATTTAATACCCCTTAAGTTAACAATGTCAGGTGGTAATTCAATTAGTTTGTTATGTGAGAGATTTATTTCAGTTAGTCGAACTAAAAACCCCATTCCTGGTGGTAATTTAGTTAAAACATTATGTGACACGTCCTATAAATTATTTTTATATAATTACTTAGTTGTATTAAATATGTATGTACCAATTGTTGTAGCATAACCAAATCCCCAAAATTTTTCGATATTTTCTCTAAGTTGTTATGAGCTAATGAGAGTACCTGTAATTCCACTAACTTATAAAATTCCGGTGGCAACACATTAATTTTATTATGGCTAAGGTTTAGTTTTGTTAACTTGGTTAATTTACCAATTTCAGGAGGTAAACTTGTTATGTTGTTATCTTGCAACTAGAAAGAAGTTATCTGAACATTTTTTCGTGCTAATTGATTGTTTACATTTAGCGCAGTTAAATCTTCAAACATTCCAATTTTTCCAGGAATCTCTTGCAGGACATTTGAGCTTAGATCTAAATAACTCAAGGGTTTAAACTGCCACCAGTTCTCCTCCTCAGGTTCTTTATTGAAGTCAATATATTTCGCTGTATCTTCATCTGTTAACTCATACATAGTAAACATTTTTTCAGGTACTAAAAACAACTACTGAAACAAGAATATAATCCAATTTGTTCTTACCATGAGCCAAACTACGTCCCGATAAGTTAAGCTGCCCTGTCCTTCGAACAATTTTGATAATACCTCTAGTAAGTTGACTGTCATCTTCCTCTTTACTTTGTAGGTGAAAAACTGGATTCAGTAATTTACGTCTAGATTTAACATTTGATTGTTTGGCCATTCTAAAATATCTTTAATGGAAAAATATCGATCAATCACACAAAAACATAACCTTTCATATTTTCTTATGACTTATGACATCACTGACCTTGAAATGACCTCTATTGTCGTTGTTTCCACAGAACTATAAAACATAGCGATTTCCACAGACAGAACTTTCTAAGTAGCATAGTGACTAAGTTCGTGCCTCAGTCTTTTAGGCTACAGATTTATCAATAAGACATTCCCACCTAAGGTAATAAATAATTTACGTAGCTACTACTGCGCATATCACAGGAACATAAAATGCTCTGCATTGTTGCCAGATGTCTATTAGAATTTGGCGCCACCTCTAGTGTGAGTTGTGTATGTTGGCAGCAGAAGTAACTCAATTGTGTCAACAATTGTGACAGGCGCAGTAGTATTCTAAATTTATAGTAATTCTAGTAGTATTCTAACTCGACTATTTAAGAGTTGTCTGAGTGATGCCAGATGAGATTAAGCGCTTGTCCCTAGATTGTAGCTTCTAAATTCCTTAGAATTCGCTAAACATACAAATAAATTAAAACAAATTCAAATAAACGTGTATACTTAGATACCTACTTAATTTTTATTTATATCTATTAATTATAGAATTTATTAATTTTAATATCCGTCTAAAACATTAAATGAACTGCAACAATTAGTAAACTTGGCAAAGCGAAAGACGCAAAGCGCATTTTGTCCTATCTTATTCCTTTTTTTTTGTCTTTAGGTACAGTTGGAGACAAAATACTTTGGTCGTCACTTTTCTGACACTTTAATGTAATTCAAGCTTTAACGTTAAAATGAATGACAATTTCAAAGTAATGACAGCTGTTATATTTTCCTATCAAAAATATGTACATACAACTTGTCAACTATGATTGACAGAAGTTAAAAATAAGGTTAACAGCCTAAAGCATGTTTTACAATTTAATGTCACTCAAGTGACACTGACGACCAAAGTATTTTGTCTCCAACTGTACACATGTAACTACAGAAAATAATAATGAAGTAGAAGAAAAATTTCAAGTAAGATAAGATACCAGGAACATGCAAAAAATGTTTAAAAAATTCTATTTGTCATTTGACATTTATTTTTTGACATTTGACATTTTTTATGTCTATGAAATAATACTTCATTAAACTTATAAATATCTCAATTCCATTAATACATACAGGGTGTTCAAAAAACTGCACACTTCCTTGAAGGGGAGTAATTGGGTAGTCTCCAGAGTACTGAAAAATGTTTAAAAAATTGTATCTTTAAAAAAAATTTAACATTTATTTTTTGACATTTGACATTTTTTTATGTCTAGTTAATAATACTGATGACTTTGTAAAGGTTTTTTTATAATTATTTAGTAAAGGTACAAAAATTTTGTCAATAAAAGCCACAAATAACATTAAACAGAGTTATAGTTTAGGATACAGCTTCCTTGTTTCCGCTTCTAATAGCCTGTAGCAAAAAAACTTGGAAAATTATTTTTCCAACAGAAATAAATAGAGTCAAAGTGCAAAATTTAAACTCTCATAACTTTGAAATTTTTTTAGATAGAATTTTTAAAAAAAAATTCCATATTCGTGGTACCTTACCCTCCATGGCATTTGCCCTTGGAGCGGGTGTTCTGGCGCACTCTGTATGTGCATATCATGTAGAACGTGACTCCTTCAACTTTTAGAATCGCGATATCTCAGGAGTCGTGATATTTAGAAAAAAAAGTATAAGGACCATTTTTGTATATAATTTTAAGATCTATAATTTTTATCTGGGCTACTTTTTTTGATAAAACTTATAGTTTTCGAAAAAAATTTAAAAAACGTTAAATTTTGACCTTTGACCTCGAATAACTTTTTTAGTACACATGGGATCGATGGTTACTTTTGACACTTTATTCCTAATGGTGTATCCAAGATCTCCACCAAAAATTTAGCTCTGTCGGAATTTTAGTTATTTGAAATGTGTATGTGTACATTTAATTTGGCCGGACTAAGAAAATTAGAGTCAAAGTGCAAAATTTAAACACCATCAATTTCTAAATTTTTATAGATATTTTTTTTTTACATTTTTTTAAATGTACCTAGTATCTTACCTTACATGGCGTTTTTTTTTTGGGGCGCGAGTTGTGATACACTCTGTATATAAAGCGGCAAAGTGTCTGAACCCGGAATTCCGAATAGAAAATTGGTGGTTGTGTACACGTATTGAAAACGTTTTTAGTGCAGTTTTCAGTTTCGTTTACATGTACCCAAGTAATGCATTGTGAAAATAAAGTTTTATTTTCGGTTTTATTCGACAATCAATCATTCCGCCGAGTGAATAAAGGTCGAATTCGGAAGCTTTTAATGTCACATGAACAAAATCAATAGTGCAAATTCAAAATCATAAATAAATTCGTCAATTTAAATTTGCAACACGAATTAGCACTCTATCAAAATGGAAAACATCCGATTGTGTCAGAGCTTAAAGCGTGAAACTCGGAAGTTTGTTAATGAAAGCTCCAATAGAGGACGGTAGTTATTTCAAAATAGGCTTTTCCGGTCAACTAAAAGAATAAACAGAAATCGCACACTGACTGCAAACGAGAGACAAATTATCTCGTTTTTGGGAGCAATTTCGCATTAAAACCTGAAAGGGAGCAATAAATCCGGATTGTGCGAGTTAATAAATTTTCGGTGAAAATAATGACGGTTTATCAAACGTGTTCAGTAGCTAAATAATTTATGAAACATAGGTGGATTAACCCTTGATTTAGGATGGTGAGTAGGTGGATTACGTTTCAAGTGAAGAGGTAATCATTAAAGCCGATTTTAACTGGTGTCGTAAATTACTTTAATCGCGTTGACATGTCAACGTATGCGCATGGATACCGAATGGACAAGAGGTCCACTAACAGAGCTAAATAATTTTTAAATACTTCAAAAACTACACAAAAGTAATAAAAAAATTGCTGTAACATTTAATCCAGTTTTGCAATAATTGCGTTTTCTTGAATTGCGCTTGGTGAATAATGTGAACAAAGCGACGTAAAAATTTACCATATCGCGGTAATTTATTGTTTTGAACTGCACGGTGTGCGGTATTTCCTCGAATATATTGTCGATTATTTGTATATTTTGCTGTAATGTTACACTTGGGATTTATTACGGAACATATTTTTCCCTCATGAATCGTATACGATATTTGTTTTTAAATAAATTGTATTTATTATATTATGATTGCCAACTTTCCGGACTTTAATCGAGCCGTTCGAATATCCATAAATTATCCGACTATTCGAAATAATAAATAACCAAATAACACATCCAGGGATACAAAATGTTGTTTGAAACTTGTTATACTCTCTGATGTATAGTTGATTGCAAAAAAATGTAACTGTACCTAACACCGTGCGATCAAATAAAAAATAAATTAGAGTAGGCGTCGATTAAATTCTGCAGTTGGCAACACATTGGCTGGGAATCTGGGCTAGAAATTTTCCACACAAACTGAAAGTGAAAATGACCATTCACCGTTTTCGTCTTGTAGAGCAATATAAATTTTCTGCTCTAAAGTGAACATTATTTTACTCAAAAGGAATAAAACGCAAACTTGTCAAAGTTTGCGCTGACATTTGATGTCAAAAATCAGGATTGCCATCTGAAGGATGGAATCACCGCCTACTCTAATTTATTATTTTTTTGATCGCACGGTATCTTAAACGTAAAGAAACCAATTTTATTCGGTAAGCAATTCATCCATTTGTTTTTCTTATTATAGTTTTTGTGGAAAATCATGTTCGAAGTAGGGGTAAAATTTGCAGGTTTCAAACACGTCTGTGATTCTCACAAAACGATCAGATTTTTATGGTAATTATTAGGGTAAGTCCGGGGGAGATGGTCATAGCGAAGAGATGGCCCATGCCTTCAATTTCGAAGCAGTTCGACAAATGGTGTAATAGTTCGTTTAGTTGAATAGTTTCCGTTTCCGTTATTAGTTCATATATTTCCTGTTGGCAATTAGAACAAAGGAAGTAATTTGATATTCTTATTTTTGCTTACGGTGGAATTTTTATAGCTGATAATTGAAAATCGCGTTATGCTAACGTTTTTAATTATTTTGTAAATACTGACAACACTATGTTAAGAAGAGCTGTTTAAACAATATTTTAACTTCATGGTACTAAATCTTCTAAATACCTGACGTTTTTTAATTAAAGTGGCCATTTGTTTCATAAAATTGGGATAGATGGCTAACTTTTTACAGGTCTTTATTTAGATGCCCAATCACTATAAAAAGAAAAGTGTTGAAAGTCGCGGTAGAAGGATGGAAGAACAGTTGAAAAATGCATTCAATGCTGTCCAGAACGGACAGAATGAATAGACAACATTCGTGGTGCAGCATCAACATTTGGTATTTCCAGCAAAACGTTATAGCGAAGTCTAAAAACCCTCAATACAAAAAAAAGGACCAATGGGTCCTAGTTGTATGCTTGAAAAAGAACACAAAAAACACCTACCACGACACATTAAAAAATGGAAAAATATGGTTTTCCATTAACCATTGAAGATATAAGAAAAATCGTTTTTCAATTTGTAGAACAACTAGGAAGAAAACCGTGGAGGGAGAAACAACTGGAGAGAGCGTGCCCTATACCGGCTATGTTAGGTTTTTGGTCGAGCTACAAACACCTTTTACGACCTTTTTTGAATCTCCCACATAAATGTGTAATCAGTACGCGAGTCAAAAGTTGTTTTTCGAATCAGCTGATACCATGGGCGTCTCATTGTGTCCGTCATTTCCACGTTGTCTTTTGATTTTTGTATTTATAAACTTTATTTACAGTTTTTTTTTAATAATCTGCCTAGTTTTAAGTATTAGTGTTAATTGTTAATGTTAATCGGTGGTGTATTTAGTTATTTAGTTAACTGAATGTAAAAAAAACATTGACTACACCACTGCATCCAAATTGGTAGTGGAGGAAAAGCTTGAGTGCGCACTTTGAAAAGGATCATAAGAGGTGTTTGCTCATGGAACACGTTTTCAGTGCTTATGCTCCCTCCAGTTGTTTCTCCCTCCACGAAGAAAACATAGATTTAATGTCGACACAGAAAAGGGCATACGATTGGCTCAATTTGTTTTTAACTCGAAATTCTGTCTATCAGATAAAAAAATACCTTACTTGAAATTTTTTTCTGGGGCGCGAGTTCTGGTGCACCCAGTATATTTTTTTTGATGTGTTAAGAGTTTATAGATTTTTTTTATTT